AGGATTCAATTTGGATGGATCCCATCCATAAACCACCTGTGTAATTAGTAATTTCCTTAGGGAATCCCATCCGCAATTTCTTGGCACGTGCTCAAACGCAAGCTGGGTGCAACGGATGGCGTGCCACTGGGTGTCCTCAGACGCTTGGAACAAGGGGACGCTCGACTCCATAGGCTGCTTGCGTGCAAGGTGACGACCAAGCTTACGAAGCTGGCAGATGGGGAGTATCCAGCGCCTCCTACCCTGCCTCAACAGTCAAGGCCCCCAAACTCCGTGCGAATGCAAGATACCCAGCTAATGCTGGCAAGCTGTGACAGCCTTCAACAAGATAAGGAACACCCAACTCCAACTGCAAACGAACACAGAGACCTGCGGCATCCTGACCATCCTTAAATGCACGATCGCAACATTCATGCGCCTGTTTGCCTCATCTGTCCGAGCATCTGCTACATGAACGTCGTACAGCAAGATCTTGATGAGCATCACGAGCCTCACTTGTTTCTTCGTGCATGACCGTTCATCTTTAAACCCCTACTACAAGTTTCAGGACTATTCCAGGAGTGATGTGGAGTTTCTGGAGTTGTCTTCTGACCCGGCATGGTGGAGCTAGAGGCTCTAAGGCGGAGACAGGAATGAAGCCACAACGTCCCAGAAGCGAACGTGCCCCACTTCAGCTTCGCCTGCAAGGACGAACGAGTGGCCCTGTGCAAAACGCTCGTCGAATCGTGGGCCTCTGGCATAAACAGAAGCACATAAGAACTATGCATCTTCACACTTGCCTGGCCGAACTCCGTTTGTAATGAATTTCCCCAACAAGGCCTGGAAGCCGAGAGCATATTGATTTCGCGTGTTGCTTCTGCACTCAACTGATCAATAGCACATGGCCAAGCGCACGGCTAGAGTTGTGATCATGACCGACTGGGATCGACCTCCCACAGTTCTGGCAAACAAACGCATCGTTTGGCACATGCAGAGGCCCAACATCATTCTGGCAAATGTGTGGCCTGCTGCCTTACCGAAGTAAAACATCACCTGGTCTTCCAGTATCTGCATGCGTTCTGAGGCTCAAGCCAATGTAGTCCTTTGCATTTCTCTGTCTGGTGGTGGAGCCAGGGTCATGCAAGGACCGCCCATAAGTCCTGATCTTGAGATTTCGAGCCTTGCAGTATCTATCACAGATCATGAAGCCGGCAAACAGGCACAGGCATGGAGTAGTGGTCGCAGCTCTGCTACAATATGCTACAATGATGTGGCACCGTGCTCTATAGGATTCAGTCTTGCGCAGACAAGGACACGAAGAGCAGCGAGAGCACACAGCTTTCCACACGTGCCTGCACGTCTCATGACTGACTGCAACAAACTTGCCCCTTCAACCCAAACAAGGCTTGAATGCACACGTCTGGTACACCTGAATTTCCGAAAATTGAGCGGCCCCCTAGTAAAACAGCCTGCTGGTAAGATGCTTGTTTCAATCGATCCCAAAGGGAGCCCTAAAATCACTGAGGGACCCGCCCTTGTTTAAACCCCTGAAGCATTATAGACACCTTGCCATAGGAATATCTGTAACGCACCTAAACCCCTTCGAGGCCTAGAGAAAAATCAGATCTCGGTCCTCGGAAAGAACAAGGCACAGGCCAACCAAGAAATCACCTCCGAGGCCCAAGCAAGCCCCAAGAGGATTCAGGACTTGGAAAGTCGTGTTTAGGGTTTAAGAAGTCCAAGAAAGCACCCAGACATTGCTAGATATACCCTTTCGAGGGTGATATGCCAAGATGGGTGTAGGTTTGGAAAGGCTGCGAAAGGCACCGTTTGGGTCCTAGGCTCAGGGTAACAGTTCTTCAGCCCTAGAGTAGACCCACATGGAAAAGCCAACAAAGATTTGCGGTAGTTGGTTCTTGGATTACGCGCCGGGGGTATAACATTACAGCAGAGACTTAGGGGCGACTATAATGGCTATAAGACGGTAGCAGTGCCATTTCTCCATCCCTGTGACTAAGCCCTGAGCGCCGCAGAACACCTAAAAAACTTAGCAGTAAGCCCCAAGCACGACATTCTACAAGGCCGACCAGCCTGCCTAACGTCGCCCTTCAAGCAAACCTGTAGAACCCTTACAGGAACCCTTTTAGCAGAGAACCCTTAGAGAAACCGGGAAGAACCCTCAAAGGAACCCTTTTCTCAGAATCTGCCTGACATCGCGCTTCCGGACTTCGGCCGGCCCAGATGTAGAGGCTCGCGCTCGCTACATTCAAGGCCAGATGAAACGTCGCAAAACCACCTGGAGGGCTCAGGTAGGGCTCCTGTGTAAAAATGGGCTTATAGGACCTAGGGGCCGAGGTTGGTTATAGTGGCCCGGGCCTGGGCTGGTTGTGGGACCATTGGAGCAAGGTGTTTTATCAAGTTTCGGAACCAGGGACTTGGGCTGATGGATCCAACTCTCAAACCCGGACATAACCAGACCTTTGTGCTTGGGATTTAAGGGTCTGCAGGGGTTTAGGTTTGGGCTTTCGAAATTTATGAGGGTTTAAGGTTTAGGACTTTTCGGGCGGCAGACTTCGGGCTCAACAGTGCGGCCGGAAAAGGTGCCCGGACATCGCAACTCCTGGGGTCTCACATTAGTACTCCCCAAGGAACTATACAAAACACACTCACGCACAACCGTAGACTATACACCTGTCTAATTTGTGTCTTTTCAACCCGTGTATGAAACGGCGAGCCAAGACGCGGCAGGCTGGCAACCAATAGCCCACTCGAGCATGCATCATGCCAAGTCTCAGCTGTGAGCGGGGTTAAGGGTTTAGGTTTCGGGTTTTGGGTGTGGAGCTTAGGGTCAATTGCACCAACAGCTGCACCGGTTCATAACAAGCAAGCAAATGTCTAGCCAGCTGCTAAATGCGACGAGTTCGCAAACAGTAGCAGGTCGCGAGAGCATTGAAGTACAGTCTTCTTGTGTCCGCATCTTGGACGAGGATATCTCCTGCGGCTGGTTCACTCATATCGCTTGGAAGGAAGGAAATGAGCACGATCGCAAGCCTTATGCACAGGGCTACTATGCAGATTCCGACAGCGCGTGGCACCGGCGGTAGTCCAAATTTGGAAGCCCGAAACCCCTCAGACCCTAATACAGACCCCACAAAAAATCATGCCTTCTTAAAGCAAAGAACGACCAAACGGTGGGTGCCTTCCGTTTTAAGTGCACCCTAAGAAGCTAACCCTCCGATTGAGAACCCTTCCCAACCCCGAACGACACCGATGTCACGGGCCTGTAAAGTTGATGTCCATAAAGAAGATGCTCATGGCCAGCCTTTTTTAGGACCAGGGAGGGGCTGTGGGTGTTTTGGGTCTGGGCCTTACTGAAACCAAGCTTAGGATTTCGGAGTGTAGGGTTTCAATACCAGTAATGCCCTGGAAGGCGCCGGCAGCCGCAATAACTACACATGGTAGGTGGATGCGGATGTATCGGATGTATCGTGAAGTGCCGAAGCTGACCCTGACAGCAGTCAGAACAAGAAGATGTGCCAGAGGCTGGGCTATGATTGATTCGTATTGCTGCACTCGCAACACATGCATAGATAGAAATGTCCGGAGCCCTTGTGGAATCTGGGGCCAAATGGTGGAAAGCGTCCAGTCAGAACACATGAAAGTAACCTGTCCGAGAAGGTCTATCCGACTAGTCCGCACATGGAAGACTCAAGGTGTGCTGCAGTCCCTGCAGGCCCTGCAAGCAGACAGCACAACCAACAACGCTACAAGACCCCAAAAGCCAAAACAATCGCTGAGGCCAGTCGGTCGAAGCCACATCCGCAAGCGTTTACTTGGGAAGGGCACCATGCTGTAGTCGGGAAGAGCTAGAATCTCCACATCGACTGGTCACCGAATTAAGGTCTAGTCTAAAGTTTGACAGTCTGGCACCTCACGAAAGCAGCAGGTATCTACGGGAACGTTAGATCATACTGCATGTGACGAGCACGTCGGTGCCGCCAAACCTGCACGGTTATCCAGAACTTTGCCATCGGTCTGCGCACTCCCGCATGCAACCCGTCTCGGTTCGAACAACACTCCAAACCGAAAACCGCAATGGCCGCAGAAGATTACTCCTGTGTATCCGTGGTCATATACAGTAATATCCTCCAAAACCCACAAGCCTAACTAGCTCTACCATAACATACTCCAGCACCCGCTCTAATTATAAGGCCCATACTTCAGACACGAGCAAAACCCTACAAGCCCCTCACAAAGCCCTGCAAAAACCTTCTTGGCTCTTCACAGAAACCAGTCTTTCTGCAGATCGGTGGCATCATGTAGAAGAGCCGGTGATCCGACCCGTCGGCGCTGAACCGTGTAGACTGAACAAGCCAACATGTGAAAGCATGCGAACGGGGATTGAGATGGATTGAGTGATTTCAATAGTGGCTTTATCTAGAAGGCTGGTGTATGCTATCGTCCTGAACATATTTCTTTGTATATATATATACACACACACACACATATATATATATACAATTCTACCGCATTCGTCATTGACTGTTCGAGGGTCACAGGGGCTTTGGCACATGTCTGCACTGTGCGTGCCTGGTTGTGCGGATGTGCTGCTCTACTGCATATGAGGCCTCAGCCTCATGTAATGCCCCAGCTCAAGGCTTGAGTCCAATGTGGACCCACTCCATAGGCTTGGATGGCAACGGGGCAAGAACACTGGAGCATATACAACTTTGTTGCTGCTCGGGCTCCTACATTCACAAGCCGAGGGAATTATACTCGTCAGGACATACACAATTCCCGACCCGGCCTTCACCATTCGAAAGTCGCCCAGTTTTTTGCCACGGGCTTCGCTGTATATTGCCTGTGACTTGCGGAGCAAATGGAAACGGGGTGAAATGCTTTACAGATGAGGCCTCAGCCTCATGTAATGCCCCAGCTCAAGGCTTGAGTCCAATGTGGACCCATTCCAGTGAACGCCCATTCACATCTGCTCGGCCTAAAGGCCGGAGTCGCAGGCAGGCTCAGCGCTCGGAAGACTTCAGATAGCGCACGAGGGCTGGGCCAAAGCTCTGAGATTGCCGTCGAATCGAGTTCACTCGCTTCGGCGAAGCTTGCTCCCACCGTTTGAGCAGCAAGGCATGCTTCTCGTAACGGGTGACACTTTTGCGTGCCTGCCAGCGGCCACGTTTCTGGATCTCATTGAGCGACCGTCTTTTGTGGAACATATCGTTGGATGCTCCAGAGTGTCTAAGAATGTGCGGCATAATGCAAGTAGAGCGGTAACCTAGCTGCTTGCAGCTCTTTTCGCACCAGCGTTCATAGAAGCTCAGTGTGACGCCAGGGAAGAGCTCATGCTTGCATCTGCCCACGTAAAGTCCCATTGCATCGGAGAGCCAACGACGGTCTGCCATGTCAGCGATCATGACAGAGTCGTCGGAGGTGCCTTGTTTGGTTCGCTCTCCTAAAGCAGAGGGTGCAATCACCAAAGACCATTTGTTGTAACGGCCGCCCGCAGGATATCCGACATGGTCCACGGTGAGGCCAAGCAATTCCGAGGGGCGCAGGTACGTGTCATACTGAAGGCTGAGGGCGAAGGCCAGGTCGCCACGCTGCTGTTGCAAAGCCAAGAAGCCGAGGTCGTAGATGAACTCCTCCGGAACCGGGAGGCGCATGCCCCCTGGCTGGAGTTTCTTCCATCCGTTGAGAGCTTCTTTGGAGTTCGCTAGGAACTCCTGCTTGGGCCCCATGTTGCGTAGCAGCTGCAGGCCATAGATCACGTAGGCACCGTTGGAGGGCTGGACTTCATCATCCTCTTCCAAGAAGTTCAGGTAGAGGGTGACCAGCCTATCCAGGGTTTTGTTAGTGACCCGGTGTCCGTGAGCTCGGGCCCACGCCTCGAACTCGCGGACATGCTTGTAGTACCTGTCCAGGGTTTTCTGTGTAGCCTTCAAAGCTCGAAGACGTAGGAGTGGAGGAAGGCTTGCCCCCTCTGGTGTCGTCCTGGGCTTTGCGCGTCTTTTCGGGGTAGTCGTCGAACTTTTTGTAGCCGGCGAGGCGGGCGATATCCTTGGCTGTGAAGTGGCCGAAGATGACCGGATGCGTTTGGAGGTACCGCTTGGCTCCTCGAAGGAACTTGTAGCTGTCCTGACCTTGGTGACCTGCTCGAAGATCTTCGTCGGTATCTGCATCATGTGGTCGGTGAGCTCGACGGGCCGCCGCCTCGACGCCATGGAGAAAACTCAGAACAGTCTCCGGCGATGTAGTCCCGGTAGCTCCTGGTGGCGCTGCGTCCTTAAGCAGTTGAGCCCAAGCCGCGCACAACGACTCAGGATAAGCTCCCGCTGCTATGGTGCGATTGCAGGATTGAAGCTTGCCATCTACAATCGACATCACTGACCCCTTCAGTCGTTCATGAACATGACCCCCTGGACAGCGTCTTGCTAGGCTAGAGAGTGAATGAAGGTCCGTGAGCATGCTCGTCGGTTTCTTGTAAGGAGTGCCCCAGGCGCACGTGTGGAAGGTGAAGAAGCAGACGTGCTTGTTAAGGAAGATGTCTCGAATTGGACCAAACTCCCACAATCGACTTGTTTGAGGATTTTCTATGATGAAATGCACCCCTGCTGCCAAACATTCTCGAACCACACACGCCGAAAAGAGAGCTGCTGCCACTCCCATTGCCTCCTTTTGGCGCGCACGCCTGACGTTTTGGATATTGTGTCTGGCCCTGCTCCAGACTGTGCAAGGGGTTCCAAGGTGCACGCACCAAACCACTCGATTTCTAATCATGTTGAAGATTAGCTCCTGGGTCTCTGGGCATGTCAAATCGAAACAAGATCCCTTGCCAATCTCGAAGTCAGGAAGTACCCGAAGCCCCACCCGCTGTACAGCGGCTGTCAGCCGCCCCGTGCCAGAGAAAAGTTCGAGGAAGTGGCGAGGTGCCAACAGTCCTCGTTCTGTCCCCGGCGACTCTCGAACCCGCTCTCCAAGACCAAGTGGACGAAGGCCACGGCCCAGCTCAAAAGAGTCGGCTCGGCAATGCGAGCCCTGGGTGCCATGTCCTCCGCAATCACGTCGATCATGTAAAAGATCAGGCTCAGTCGACGCAAAACGTTCCCAAATCGGAGCCGAGCTTGCAGGCACAACATGTCGGGTATGAGGTCGAGGAAGATCGGGGCCAAACCATCGCGATGGAGCGTCCGCCACGTTGCGTTTGCTCTCGATGTGGCGAAGTCTCCACTGAATCCGTCCAGCAAGCTGGTAGGCGGCGGCTCTCCTGCAGAGGTTGTTGAGAGGCCTCGATCCGCTGCGCCCTTTCTCAAAGGCCAGAGCCGAAACCAAGTTGTCTGTAATCGTCAGTGCTGTGGTGCCCAAGTTGCGAGAGGTTCGACACAGTCTCCTCAGGCTCATCAAGCACACTCTCGCCTCTTTGAAGTTAATGTGCTCCTTGATGTTTTTCCAGGGTTTGGCAGTCACAAGAGTCCAGCGCTGAGGATCATCCCAGGAACCCGCCAAAGCGGGGATCGGCGGCCCCTCGATCACGGTCTTCTCGACGTCAGTCGAAGGCCCCAAGAGCTTGTCGCGTCGCCTTTTGAAAAGAGGGTCCCGTAGCGCGGAATCCCATGCTGCAGCAAGCTCTTTGCCGAATTGTGTAGTTCTCCCGAGCCCGGCCGAAGGAGTCTGCCCGGCGTAGCCCGGAGTGCTGGTCCCTGTGTAGTCAAAAAGAGGAGAAGGAAGAGGCTCCGTGCTCTGCTTGAATCGCCACCGTTCATGATGCTGAAGGGCCTTCCTGACCTCCTTGTGGCTGGAGGCGGTGCTCATAAGTGCATAGCCACGATCCGAAGAATCACCCACGTGTACCTCAGTGCAGAGTGGGGCAGACATGTCGACCTCAACCAGAAAGATAAGACCGAGCACGTCCCGAAGTTCGGAGCGAACCGAAGCCCAAAGAGGGGCCCTACGGTCCAGGTGCTCCACTGCGAACTTGTAAGTGGCGGAGAGTGCACTGAGCCCGGGTCGAGCCAACTGAAAGTGGAAGTTGGTTAACCCCAACCAAACTCGAAGGAGACGTCCACTCACCCGGCGCCGTCGAAGAAGTCCACGCGTAGCCATCCATAAGGACCACGCGCGGGTGGTTTTTGATCGGGCCGTACAGCGGTCACCAAAGTCGAATCGCAATCCGAGACTGTGCATCCAACCCTGGCCCTCGACGTCATCAACCTCAAAGGGGATGCCCAACAAGGCAAAGCGGTCGGCAATGGCTTTCATTCGATCGCCCGCCTCGCCTTTGTAGCCCCCAAAGGTGTGGATATTGTCCACGTAGGTCCCGACCACAGGGCGACCAGGTAGAAGTGGTGGAGGAGGGGCCCGATCTCGAATCTCATCCTTGCCGGGTCTCGTACTCGTAAAGCTCACCTGATGGTTGACCACCTCGTTCGCGATGTAGAGAGCCCAGCTCCATCCCATGGGCACGCCTTTGAACGCGGCGTAAACGCGCTCATGAGCCCGGAGAGGGAGCTCCTTGTCAGCCTCATCGTCATAGACGGCGTCCACGTGGATGCCCAAGTCCGCGAGCTCAGCCTGGTCGAAGTCATCGTCCGTGCAGAACCACGCGGCCAGGGCAGGGACGGTAAAATTATAGAAGCAGTCTCCCACATCACCGGCTTCGCCCGTCACGCAGGCCTCGCCGAGGTAGCCGCCAAATCCATCAGATTCCAAAGTCCCGGGTGAAAGGTCAAGGTTTGTCATGCCCGCCGGCGTCGCAAGGCGAGTCGTCGGTGGAGGCCTGTGACAAGAATTGGCTTGCCGCGCATCAATAATGAGACGCTGTTGGTCTGTGTCTTTCTTGCGCACGGTGAAGAAGCCAACTCTTGCCTTGCGGCGTCGACGAAAGGTCAGGAGGTTCGCTTCGAAGAGGGCCCGGTAAAGCTGCAGACGAAGGAGCCGATCTCGCCGAAGACGGGGATCCCAGTAGGGCTCCACCAGGTTCCCGGTATCGCGGAGCCCCTCGAGCTCTTCCGGAGTCCTCTCCACCAACACGTTGAACTTGTCCAGGTAACACTTGGTCTCGGGGGGAGCCAGGTCTCTGGCGTCCTGCGGTTGGAGCCTCCGCCGTAGAATCTTGATCTTCCCGAGATCCGTGTCCACAAGGTGGCAGGCCTCCTGCGAGTACAGGTTGGCTCGCCTGCAAAGGTCACCGAGAGAGGAAGCTTCAGTCACTTCAGCTGGACACTCTCCGTACATGGCAACCCTCCGCCAAATGTCTCCCATCATCCACTCCTGAACTGAGGTGAGTGGGGGAGGGGCGGAGCTAGATGGCACAAAAGGGATTGCGGCAAGATTGTTTAAAGAGCGGAGCGCCGCATCAACTCGCCGGTGCAATCGGGTAAAAGGAGGAGTCCCCGGAGAACTCGATGAAGAAGAAAGTCGGGGTAAAGGAAAAGGATCACCATGTTTTCGGTGAGGAGAAAGACCCCGAACTCCGAATTCAGCCCATGCATCTGCCGAAGAAGTTGGGGTAGGGCCGGACATCATCCTCGGCGTGGCCCCACCCAAGAAGAAAGCTACTTTGCCCCGCCAGAGCTGCCCGCAGCAGCTCCGGCCGTCGCACTGTCTCCTTTGCCTCCTTTCTTCTTTTTCTTCTTCTTCTTCGGATTGCCCTTGCCACCATCATCGGAGCTGCTGCCATCGTCTCCGTCTCCTCGATAGCCGCGCCCTCGAAGCTGACGTCGCTCTTGATTGAAAAGCCTCTCTTGTTTCCAAAGAGAGGCCCGCTCTTTGAGGCGTGCCGAGACCCACTCCGAGAACTTGGTGGTCGCTGCCCTCCCGTCAGGCAATTGAGCGGTCCCACTCACGATGTCAAGCCCGCTGAAATCTGGAGCAGCAGGATTCCGTTCCACCGCAAGCTCGGTCTGGATCACCCACCTTGTCAAATGCTCGCCCACTGCAAGGGCGCTAACGTCAAGCTGATCGAAAGAGTGCATCAACCTCAACGCCTCGCAAATGGCCCGGTGAATGTGAACCGAGCTGGTCTTGCGATTGGCCCCTGACAAGCGGACCCATTCTGAATGGTAGGTGAGGAATCCCTCCGTTGTCAAGGAAACTGCTTCATGAAACTCCTTAGCGGCCCGAGCGCCCTGGATCGGGAACTCAGGATCCACAGGGCATTTCATCAAGGGGACGGCCTGGCGGAGACCGAGGACCTTCTTGCCACTGGCATCGCGATGGTCGCCTAGGAGTCGCACGTCGGCGGCCTCCAGGCCACGCTTCCTTTTCCAAGCATCCAAATCGCTGATCATCACTCGCTCGACAAAGACTTCTTCCCCTTCAAGGATTATGACCCCCTTCATTGTGAAAGCCAGCCCTGTAGCCTCATTCGCAAGCAAGGCAGCGTCCACCGTGCGGCCGAAATCTGAATGAGTACTCTCAGCCACAACCCACTGGGAGGCCTCGGAGTCAATCACGGCGCTCTCTCCAAGAATGGACGCCTGGATCTGAGCCTGCCTCCTGAAGTTGGACAGTGCAGCTCGACCTATGGGGTCGTGGGCATAGATCAAGGCAGCTATGTCAGCCGGGAAAGGGGCTGCCCGGTCAAGCACTCTGTGATTTTGTACCGAGAGATCATGTCGTTGGAGCTCCAGATCGGGCGTAAGGGTGATCCATCGTCCACCCTCGATCCGGTGAAGCAGGACCCTGTGATGCCAATCGAAACCTCCCGGGTCTCCGGGATAATGAACCACTATCTGGATCTCCGAGATATCTAGAGTTAGGTCTGCCATTTCTTCAGATCGGACGGCCTAGTCGGACGTGCCGAAGCCGGGCGAGAAGTAGGAGAGGTAGAAGAGCTGGATCCCAAAGAGGTCTCCGAAAGTCTCTCCGAAATCAAACCTGATCCGATCCCTGGACTCTGGTCACAAAGAGCTTCGGCCGAGGACTCGGGAGCAGGAGCGGCCCTCGCTCTAGTAGAGAACCACACCCAAAGCAGCAGTCCCACAAGAAGTAGATCCGCCAGCCCGCTAAGTCGAAGCAGCCAGCTTTGCACCCACAGCTGAACGCTACAGGATCCGGATGCCTCCTCAAGCTGAAGCACTGCTTCGCGAGTCCTCGCCACCTCGTCTCGCAACGAATGGATCTCCTCCAAAGCAAGAAGCGGTGGTCCTGGACGATGCCTTTCCACAAACCAGGCTATGGCGAGTCCTATGGACACTAGGTGCGAAGTGCTCATACGGGGGAGCTCGGGCAAGAACACTGGAGCATATACAACTTTGTTGCTGCTCGGGCTCCTACATTCACAAGCCGAGGGAATTATACTCGTC